ATAAAAAAGAAGAAACTTCTACCATTTGCAACAGCATGGATGGACTTGGAGAGCATTATTCTAAGTGAAATAAGCCAGTCAGAGAAAGATAAATATCACATGATCTCACTCATATGTGGGATATAATGAACAACATAAACTGATGAACAACAATAGATCCAGAGACAAAGAAACACTGAACCAGACCGTCCAACCACAGAGGGAAGGCGGGAAAGGGTAGGGGTGAGAAGGGGGGGGGGGCGGTAAGAGATCAACCAAAGGACTTGTATGCGTGCATAATAGCATGACCAATGGACAAGGACACTGGGGCAGTGGGGGCTTGTCCTGGGAGTGGCCAGGGAGTGGTCAATTGGGGGAAAAGGAGACATATGTAATACTTTAAACAATAAAAAGAAACCCTGTGAATAAGATTTGCAAAGAGTGTAAAAGCACATATACACATACATACATATAAACTTACACACACACACACACACACTGGACTTTAATCAAAACTTACCTTTACCTTTACAAGGTCACAAAATTCATTTGTAATGTACCAAGTACATTTATTATGATTAGAGGTTATAAAGTTATACTTTAAAATCTATAAAATGAATCCACATCATAGTTTTTTGATAACAGAAAAATAACATTCATCACTAAGCACATAACTGGAACATAAAAGATTCTCAATATATATCTGTTAAATTAAAGAAAAAATGGATGATGAAATATAAGGAATAATAGTTGCTAAATTATGTATGTGACTAAGGATTTTTTTTTCCTCTTAAAATTAAGTTGTTCCAAAATTAATAGATAACTGAAAGAATGTTCTGGTACATATCAGCAAGAATAATTTTAGTACTTCATTATGTTCTTATCCAAAAATCAAATATCAGTTACATTCTTGTATCCATGAAAATATGTATTAGCTCAATATTCCTGCTAATGTAGTTTCTATTTAAAAAACTCAATTAATTCTAAAACATTCTATCCTAGATTCACCAGGAAGACTGCACTAACATCAACAGTAAAGAGAATTAGTCTGTTCTGAGTTATTAAGAGTATTAACCCCAGTCATTCTAGACCAGTGGTTCTCAACCTATGGGTCAAGACCTCTTTGGGGGTCGAACGACCCTTTCACAGGGGTCGCCTAAATACATCCTGCATATCAGGTCTTTACATTACGATTCATAACAGTAGCAAAATTACAGTTATGAAGTAGCAACGAAAATAATTTTATGGTTTAATACAGTTCCTCATGAAGTAGCAACATGAGGAACTGTATTAAAGGGTTGCGGCATTAGGAAGGTTGAGAACCACTGTTTTAGACTATGTATCTAGCTTTCAATCAAGAAACTTATATGATGAATATAAAAGCAAGCTACAGACACTATTAAAATTAGGTTCAAAGACACCAGTACTGTCAGAGCCCACATGAAACAGAAACAGCAACAGAATCAGATTACTTAGAAACTCAAGGACAAAAAATGAAAAAAACGTAACTAATTATACCTCAAGGTATAATTTAGAAGAAAATTTATAGTTTTATATTATTTTATCATTGCATAAGATTATAAATTAATAAAGTTTCCTAAGAAACTTAAGAAATGCATGGAGAATTTTTTTCTACTTTGAAACAGATTGAAAAATTGAGAATTTTTATGGATGGATTCAAATAAGCAACACTGATATAACTATGTAGTATTTAAAAACCTATCATTTAAAATCCCACTTTGTATTACATATACAAGAAAAACACTACATGAAATAAACATTTCAATGTTTAAAAGAAAAAACCCCCAGCAAAATGCAAACCTAAAAAATACTCATATAATAGTATTAGGAAAAAAACCCAAAAAACAACAAGTGGATAGGATTGGAAAACTATTGTAAACACAATAAGAGTACAGAACCATTTTAACACATTAAGAGATAATTTTACTACATATAAAATTGATACTCTTAACTGCTCAAAAACAAAATTCTGTCATCAGGAAAAAAGGGAAAAACTACTGAAAACATATCACAAATGTATTTCATGACATCAGAAAAGATAAAATACCCTCCACCTCCCAAAAATAGGACAAAGAACAAGAAATGGGTCACTAAAGAAAATAAAAATGTGAAGAAAGTAATTTTTAACTCTGACCTCACTAGAAATAATAGGAATTGATGCAAGCTATCACTTTTTACTTTTGTATTGGCAAAGATTAAAATAACTAGTGAAGATACAGGCACTCTATAAAACAGTAGTTAAGAGCATATAACCTTTTTGGTGCATAATTTGTCAATATAAATCAAAAGCCTCAACACATGTGTACATTTGACCTATCAATTTCTACTTCTAGAATTCAAATTTAGGAAATTATCAGAGAAATGTAAAAAGATATATATAAAAGGATACTTACTGAAGCTCTAACATTAGTGGGAAACCAGGGAAAAAATAAAATTTATTCTGATAAAAACTGGGTAATTAAGTACTTGAATGGTCATTCCATGAAACCATGAAGGATAATGATGTGAATGTATTGACTAATTGGCCATGACATGTTGATAAGTTTCAAACAACTCATAAAACAGAATGCCTAATTTGATATTTTTTACATATACAAGTATGTATACACTCAATATGTGTATACTTATGCAGAGAATATAACCATCCATCCATATGGTACATGGGGCTTCCTTAGCCTTCCTGCTACAGTGAAAGACTTAGGTGGCATTCTAAGGATGGCAGAGGAAGAATATAAGATGCTAAGTCTTTGACAGCACTGTGGAGCCACTGAATTAGCTCACCCTGGACCTGCCATGAAATTGCTTGTTTATACAATAGCTTCCATGCAAATTGAGTCAATTGAAATAAAAAGTTTTATAACTTGTTGCCAAAGCATATAATTGAAACAATAATCTGCTCTAAAATTTAAATAGATTTTAGCTTAATTACTTACCTTAAATGGGTATCTGCCAATCTCAGCCTCCAGCTCTTCTGGAGTAAAAATCTTGCCTATGAATCTTTTGGCATCATATATTGTGTTTTGAGGATTTGAATCTGCCAGCTCTAAGCTTTCATATCCCACATAAACATCATGGTCAGTGAAAGACACCATACTGGGTATGCTGATATGGCCATTTTCATCTGGAATGACCTTTACTTTTCCTGTGCCAGGAAAAAACACCCCAACAGAGCAGTAGGTGGTACCAAGATCAATGCCAATTACTTTAGGAGTAGGCAATGGTAAATACTGTTGTGACAAATAGCCAGCCAACAGGAGAGTCAAGACAGCTGATCCTGAAATACAAGCAGATTAAAATATATGTCTTATCAAACTGGTACAATAAGCTAAATTACTATAGTAAAGTCCCTTTAATATCTCTCTTTGAAACAAGACTAAAAAATACACTCTCAAAATATTTTCTTTTATAATACTAATAGTAACACTTTTCTCAAACATCAAGTTTTTCACACTGTAAACTGACAGCACTTAAAAGGAGGTAACAAGAAAAACAAAAAAACTTATTCGTCTATTTCACATGGGTGGATAAAGGAATAAAAAGTAAAAACATTTCAATAACAATTGTGCTGACATTGACAGGAAAACTCATTCTTCTGGAGCAAATTAAATATAATCCAATTTCTTGGTCAATTGATACTTGATTTTATAGCTTTATCATTAGCTTTAGTTATCATTATTAAAAAGAAACTCCATTATTAAAATTTCTACAGCAAAACCTCGCTTATTATAAGGCTAAAATGATTTATCCCTGTACTAATTGGTTTGGCTCAGTGGATAGCGTCCGTCTGCGGAATAAGGGGTCCCGGGTTCGATTCCGGTCAAGGGCATGTACCTTGGTTGCAGGCACATCCCAGTAGGGGGTGTGCAGGAGGCAGCTGATCGATGTTTCTCTCTCATGGATGTTTCTAACTCTCTATCCCTCTCCCTTCCTCTCTGTAAAAATCAATAAAATATCTTTTAAAAAATTATTTATCCCTTTATCTCCTTTTTTATTTAAACAACATAAAATCGATATATTGGAGAAAACGGTTTTGAAAGCTGCTTAGAGATTAAACTGTCAATTCATAACAGAACATAGTGAACTTTCTCTGTGTTGAAATATCAACTAAGGACACACTTCTATCAGAAGTAGCATTTAGAGAAGCATCAAAGTGTGTCCTGTAAACCTGATGGCAACAGAAGCGGAAGCTCCTTGCGGGCAGGTTTTGCTCTCGGTTGTATCTCCTACCCCAAGAACGGTTCCTAGCAAACAGCAGGTGTTCCGTCATCACTAACTGATGAGAAAAACAAGTATGGACAAATGCCCGATGAAGGAAGGTGTCACTTCGGATATTACAATTGCGTTATTTGGCTTCAGGAAGCTATGCTCACCTCCTGTGTCGTCATGTTACATAGGACCTAAAACCTCAATCTGTAGAGTCTGTTTTTACTAATTGTTAGCTCATCCTCACGAACACATAATTCAACCAAGTGAAACCAAGTGCCCAGCCCACTTTCCTCTCGCTCCTACGTGCAGAATTTCAGAAGCACTTCATCCCCGTTTGTCCGAGGAGGGGAATTCTAACCAGGACTGGCAGAACGAGCACAGCGCGGCACATCGCAGAGGCCTGGCTCTCCAACCCCAGCCCCGCTGGGGCCCACGGCCCGGCGCAGCGGGCTCCTCCCACAAAGGGAAGCTGGAGATGCATGTCCGAAGGCCCCAAGTCAACGTACGATTCGAAATCGACGTTGTTTTGGAAACAACTGCTCCCAGGCCTGATGTCCCTGGGATGGACGCAGAAGGATGCCGCCCGCCCTACGTGGTGGGCCTACCGGGTCGGGGCCATCCTAGAGGCGACTCCTAAGCGGCTCTCTGAGCAGCCCCAACCCGCCTCTAAATCACATTTTCGGCGCCTTTCCTGCTGCGCAACCTGGATCTAGAGGGTGTGGCCATCACCCCCACCCATCTGGCTTCCCACAAACGCTCTAGTCAGTGCCCACACCAGCGACAGGGACCCCGCAGCACTGACCTAAGATCGTCATCTCTCCGGCCATCACAGTCCCGCCGAAGAGGTTTGGGATGACTGTACCAGACGGGAGGCGCCGCCCCCACGCCGCCGGGCGGCCCGCTGACCCCTGGGAAATGTAGTTCTCTTGTTCTGACGCGGCCAGGGAAGCTACGTGTCGGACCAGAGAAAGGACTTTCTTTACCATGAGGTCGCGAGGCTGAGAACCTCCATTCAACTGCTGCCAGGGACAACAGAGCCGCCTTCCCACGCAAGGACTGCCGAGCCAATTGGGCTGAGGAGGAGGAGAGTCAAGTAGAGGGGCTGGGCTTTACTCATCCAACCGGAAGCGCCTCGGGCCACCGGAGGTATGAAGTCTCTCTAGCACCGCCCTGCCGCTTTGCTTTCTGGGTAGTGTAGTTTGAGCCTCCCCCAGTTCGCCAGAGAGACAGAGTGGAATG